AAAAAAAAAAAGGTACTCCAAACATGCCTCCTCCCTCCCCACCCAACACCAACAAAAAACAACCCCAAAACAAAACCCCACAATCCACAGAAAATGGGCAAGTTGCTTTCAGTCATTTCAGGGACTGAGTAATGTAATATGGGTAGAAACAGCTTTGGCAGAGGCTAGGAGTTCTATCGAAGAGAGAATATTTATGGTTCTTGGAGACTAGGTTTGCCTATAACCATGGCCATCTGCCTGAATATAAAGGAGTTCTTGGACACCAGACAGCCAGCCTCCATTAAGGTGTAAACGAGTTTCCCTACATGCCTAAACTGTACAATTACCATTTAGACATACTACTAATCTAACAAGCAATTTCTAGGATTACTTGAATAAGCCTGAAAACCCCCCCCAATATTACAGACATAGTATGCTAGAGTGGAGTTGACTAATGTGCAGGGGACCCACATACGGGGAGACAGAAAAGGTACAAATGATACCTGCCTTGAACAGCTTAGATTTTTACATTTTGGCTTTTATATTTTTCTTAGAGAGGGCCATATGAAGTATTTATTTAGCCTGACCACATCTTTTTAAAGCCTAATTTCTATGAAGCTCATCCAAAAAGTAAGGAGACCCTGCACACTGTGTAACATCTCATCTTTTGATAGCCTCCCATTTAGTTCAGCAAGCTGAAAATATTAGCGCCAACTTGCACTGTTTGCCAGATCTATACTATGCACAACAGGTGGTTTTGACCTCAATTCTGCACTTTCACTGTAAACAGTCTTTGGCTTAAGGAAGAAAACTTTTATAAAAAAGCTACAAGGTATTTCTTATCAAGACAGGACTTTATAAATGATTAGGGGTGGCTTTCAAAAATATATTACAAAAACAGAAATTAGAGACTCAACGAAGATATACGTACATGTAAATAAAATACAACAGACATGTTAAAAAAAGTACAATAGATTCCACAATACAAACACCCTCATACATTGTAATAAACTGTGGTACTGCCCATCACATACCTATAATTGTTTTTAATGTACAAAACTTACACAATGTAGTCAAACTGTGAAAACCACTTCCTCTAAGCAGCACAGCAACCACATTATTTTGGCAGTTATGTCACAAATTACTTCCTTAATGACAAAGGTGCCTGTATTCAGAAGCAAGACATCATGCACCAAGACACTAACATGAGAAAGGCAAGTTGTAGCTACAGAGGCTGATGTACTACTCCACACTCAGGGGAGAAGGCATGAGGTATGGAAGAGTTTTAAAACATTAAGTCTTACCCTGGCAAAAAGAAAGATAAATGCACCAGTTCCTCCAATCTCATGCAGTATACCCTGAAGAGTTTTGCATTCAATAGGCTGAAGCATTTTCAGGTGATGAGGGTCCAATTCATTGCTTTGAACTTCTTTTGAACTGAAAGGTCTTTGAGCAGGTACACTTTTCGCTTGACTTTTTAATCTAATAACAGGTTCATAGATTGTGTATTGAGCAGGACAACAAGTGGTATAAACAACAGCAAGACTTTCCTGAAAGCACAAAGTTTATAAACAAAATAAAACAAGGTAAAAAAATTCTCACTTTGTCTTCAAAACCAGTGGTGTGCAACCTCTTGGCTCCACCTTTTGCCCTATGTGTTAGGATTGGGTTCATGCACTGTCTTCTCAGCCCCGCACCACCGTGCTGGGATCATGTGATGGATCCATAGTGCAAGGCCTGGAGCTCCCCATGGGTCTGGGGATTTGGCAGCAGGGGAGTGGTGCCAGTGATCCCCTGCTGCCAAATTTCTGGCCCTGTTGGGAGCCCCACAGGCTGGATGATATAGTGCTGTGAGCTAGATTTGCCCTGTAAATCAGAGGCTAAGCACAAGTAAGCTTGTGTACTAGGATACACTAACAGGAACTTCTTGTTTCTACTCTTCTTTCAATGCATTTGTCTAGGTAAATATTTGAGTGGCTCTGTAATGCAACAAGATTCCCAAACTTAAGTCAGGATTGTCTGGCAGATTTTTGTGAACTACCAAAAGCTCCCCCCTCCCCCCCCCCTTTTTTGTAAAAAAAAAAAAAGTTTATGCATTAGTTTGAGGAATTAGTTGTTTACTTTGTAAGAGTTACGTCAAATCACACAAGACCAGACGTGTCTTTCACAGACTATTTTTCTGTTTGTAAACTGGTTTTTCCTTACTGTGAAACAAAGTATGCTTATTAGTTATATCAGTGACTCGTTAGGCTTCCCACCTACACTGTTCATAATTTCTCTTTCTCTGAATCCATTGATAGAAAACCTCTATGCCGCACATTTAGCCTGACTGCGGACTTGTTCACTCTTCAGAGTTTGTCATCAAATTCCTCCACTGGAGACAACTTATACTGGGATATGCTAATTCTAAGTCAGCTGGGGTGAAAAGAAAATAAGTCACCCTGACCAGCATAGCTATGTTGACAAACTGAAGAGCAGCCCAATTTTCAATTACAAATGAAAAATAGTAGTAGCAGCAATTAACCACTCACAATCAAAGACAATAGGGAAAAGAATTAATGAAGTTAAGAGTCTTCTACTACAAAGACGCTCAATTTCAAAGTCAACAATGGAGTATTTTGCACTGACTTGGATGAGAACTGAATCAGTCCACATCCCTCCACCCCACCTAAATTATTTTATTTGGTTTTATTTAAGTGTGGCCACTTAGAAACAAAACATGGCAAATACTAAAGAATCAGACATGCACTGATTTGAAGCCCAGAATTTTTTTTTGACCAACGTAGCCTAAGCCCCCACTTAAAGCAGGTCTGAGAGGAAGAGCAATGATATAACTGGGACTAGAGACTTACAATTAAAGGCCCAACATCCACTTCTTTCTTTGTCATGAAAAGTTCCTTAATTTGTTCACACTGTAGAATGTCTTTACTTATGTATTTGGAATAATCAAATGAGGTTTTGCCATATTTACAAGGCATTACAGAGGTAAAGTCTGGTCCACAGGCATATAGGTAGAATGCTTCCTCTGGACCAATTTTTGCACCTAAACATAAAAAAATCAGAACAAAGCAAAAACATTAAGTTTCTTCAGCAGTTGACAAATTAAATTTACTATCCAAAGTACTGATAGTACAGTCAAAGATCTTGCTGGGTGAACTCTAATCTAAGGGATGGATAACTAGCGATCAGAAAGTCATAGAGGAAGTAAAAACATATAAATACAGAGGCTGCTGGAGGCGTTTGTTTCCTGCTACTCACTATGAAACACCTAGCTCAGAGGTCACTCCAACGTGGTCATAAAGAAAAGGGCAGCAGAGGAGGTAACAGACTGACTCACAGAGCATATTTGGATGATCTGAACAGCAGCTCTCAAAATTACATTGCATGTTTTGCCTGACATCCTCCATTTCCACTCTACTGCTCAAAAAGTTTTCATAAACTAACTGAAAATTTATTCCAAATTGTAATGTGATACCAAAAACAAAGAGAGAAAGTAACTCATAGAATGCCTAGAACATGAACGAAACAATAAAAAGGCACAAAATAGCAAGGCAGATGCTTTCAAGGGTGCTCTCAAAAGACAGCATGTTCAAAAGGCTGGCTAACTATTTTTTGGAACATCTAATTTCTTAAGAGTTTCAGGAAAATTCTGAGGATAAACAGTTACGCCATGTCACATGACACTTTGGAGTAGTTAACTGCATTTAAAATGTAAGCATCCATGCATTCAAGAAATAAAACATGCAAATGCATTCATATCATAGCAAAGTATGAACTTTTTGTGGGAGGAGCATCGCCAGATCGTATTAAGTTAAGCTATTGTTGGCCTGCTCCACAGAGATAACATGAGCAATTTGCAGTCCTACTGGCACCCGTGGGATCGAGTAGCAGAAGCAATACCCTGTCCCGAGCTCAGCTCTTCCCTCTGCCCAGAGCAGCAGGAACAGTGACCCTACTAGCCCCAGCGTGCTGGAGCAAGCTGGGCAGCCCCTGGACTGGGCAGCATTGAGCTTGCAGTGCAGAGGGCATCGGCTCTGGGAGTTGCAAAAGAGGATGCTGAGAAAGGGGAGCTCATGAGGAACGGTGCCAAGGCACAAGCAGCAAGTAATGCCTTTGGCATGGGACCAGCACATCTGTGGTCAGGGTGTTCTTCCTTATGCTGCTGCTGCCGCTGCATGACACCATTGGGTTCTTGAGGCAGGTAAAAAAGGAGACATTGGTGAGCTCCCTGCAGGGAGCACCTGGGAAAGAAGGGAAAGAGGAGGCACAGACAGCTCCAGCCCTGTCCAGAGCAGGCATAAAACAGCATTGCTGGCTGGTATCACCACAGGGCAGCCAAGTTCTGGGTGTGCCAGGTCGGGCATGAGCTGGAGCAGTA